CCCGCCGGGCTCCCCGCCATTTCCTGCAGTCGGGCCCGGGTGGGGTCTCTGGGGAGGGAGCTGCTCGGGGTCGCGCCTGCAGCCCTGCAGGGATGGGCGGTAACGGTGGCCCCGTGCGGGCGGGGGTCGCAGCATCCTAGCTCGGAGCCCTGCATCGGGGGAGGGGGATTCCCGAGGAAACGCAAGGCGGCCACATTACTCCTCCTAGAGCGTTCTTCCAGACTTGGGGGCTCACCCGCCTCGCCTTCCTCCACACCTTAACTTGTAATAAAGAATCACCTAGTGAGTGGCACCCTGTCTCCTGGTTTTCGTTGCCACGACCTTCTGAAGTCTGTGTGATTACCATCTATTTTGCCGTGCTCGCCACAGTCATGCTTGTCCCATCTTCCCATGCCCCGGGGTCTGGCTTTGTGTGCGAAGACCCCCATCCTGCAGTCTAGGCATGGGTGCGGGCGGGAGGGTGGCGGGCGTGGGGTTCCACTCTTAGGTTTGATGCCTCGCCCATCTGCCTGGAGATTAAAATGAGGCGTGACTTCTAAGCGAAACGAACCTGTGTTCCTTTGCATTCCCGAGACCCTCACGGATCGATTCTGCAGCTTGATTTCCGGCGAAAGAGTGGCGAAAGAGTCGGGGCCAGCCACACCCAAGCAAATGCCATGGATTAGATACCACCTGCGTATCTGAGACTTAGAGTTCCGGTTATCCGCTCACTTTCCCTGTCTCAACCTTATTTTACGTTTTCTCTAAATGAACCTTACTTTTCTCTGCGTCAAGGTCACACAGTGGTTGAGCTACAACTGCGGCTACCAACGTTCTATATTCATCTCGTGTACACACTCCTGAGACATGGGAGGATGGGCCTGGGCTCCACCTTAGACATGAAGATTCTGGGGGTGGGACTCTGAAATCTGCACTTTAACTAGCTCTCTTGGCAAATTTTAGTGGGCTTAAGTTCGAGAATTACTTCCCTGGGTTATAGCTTATTTGCCCTTTTGCTGGCCTTGTGAGGGGATTTCTTAGAGGAAAAATCTACAAATCCATAAAATTTCATAATAATTTGAAAAACTTTTAAGGCTTTTGATATTAATATCATGTGAAGTATGTTGTGGAGGTCAGTATTTAGGATTATCCAGGTAAGAAACATACTTGAAGAGTTGTGTTTCCTGTGGTGTCCTTATTAACACTTGAATTAGGTGTGTTTGGAAGCTGCCACCACCACCAAGACCCATTTGTTGATTCACTGGTGACATAGCATGATGTCATGGATTAGATAGGAGCTTAGCATCTAAACCAGGGACAATCTAGTTTTGGGACTGAAGTCTATGTAATTTTGAGGGTTCTCTTTAAGAGAACAAATGTAAAATATATTAATTTTGGAAATTTTGCAGAAATGGGACTGAATGTGTGA